AAAAAAAATACACGGCGTACGTGGTACATGTTATTCGGACTTTACGGTTAACCAGATTCAATTAAGATGTACTCACGTGCGCGAAGAATCTTGTCAATCGCGTTGTGTGTGAAAAATCACAAAGAGTTATTTTCTCTCTCTCGATGCTTTTTTATATATTAGCAGAATTGTTATCGCATTCGTGCGTGCGCGCGCGCGCGCGCGATTCAACGAGGGAATAATCTCAGGATGAAAAAATGAGAGGTAAAGTTAGAAAAAGTTTGATTTGTGAAAAAAGCCGATACGCACACCAGTTCCGATATTTTTTTTTTCTTTTTGTGTCGCTTGGAAGAAAATTTTATGCCTGTATTCACACACACACACATCAAAAAAAAAAAAGCACAAATTTATCGGCGTTTGCGTGATCGTTTGCGAAACTTGTTGTTATAAGTTTATATACACTCCCTAGAAATATATAAATCCTGAGATTGTTCTCACGTAACACACGCACAAATTAAAAGTTCTATCTAATATATCAACAAAGCGTCGATCTCAAGTTTTAAAAAGAAAATCTCGTTGCTTTCTCATACATTTTGTTATCTCTTTTTCTTACGTATACATACATATATATATATATATGCATATATAATATGTACATGTGTGTGTAAACATGTTAAATTTCATAATTTTTTTTTCCACCATGGCACAAAATGCGAACAAAAATGTTTTTGTTATTGCTGTTGTGTAACAAAAATGTTCGTTTCGAAAGAAACATTATTTTTCTTTGTTAGTACATTGTTTGTGATTTTTGAAAATAACACATTGTGATTTTTTTTTCTTATTATGCGATTAATTGTTCATTATCGCTCGTTCTTACGCATCGTCAGCTTCGCACCTTCGAAAGTCATGAACTATAATCGCCGCCGGTAGTTAATTTTGATCAAGACGCGCAACTGGTCTATAACATGATCTCTAAGTAAAGTGTAAGTACTAAATACAGTGCGTTACCGCTGTATCGTAAGCAATAACACTGCTTGTTGATGGGGATTTTGATGCGACAATCGATTTGACAAAAAATTAACGTAGCGGCGGCCTCGTCTTTCGGAAGGATTGATTGCAATTTTATTTTTCTTATTTTTTTTTTTTTGTTTAGCTTTAATTGTTTTATATATGTATATACGCTTCGCAGATAAAATCTCTTTGCATTTTCTTTATAGTCTTCAGGTCCGGCCCTTTATCAGTTGGAAATTAGATTACACCTCAATTAGATGAAATATAAGTAGTAATTAGAAGATATATAATATATATATATATATATATGAAATATAAGTAGTAATTCTACGCACAGAATGAAATTCCTGATGTCGCTTAGGAGCAGTCTTTGAGCTTTTCTTACATGCGTTCACGTTCGCTTTTATTATTTATTGCGTGCATATATAACAGTGAATGCATAGGGTATATGTGTGTATGTGTAAAGATGAGGAAGTGTAATTTTTCTGGTAATATGTGTGGTGTATATATGTAAATTTAAATGTACAATTAATTAACTATATAAATGTTAAATTGGTAAAAATTAAAAATTGTTTGACTAGCTTTTGATCATTTCTCAAGTTTCAGTTTTTTTTTTTTTTTTCGTCCATAATATACATACAGATAAATATATATATATATATATATATGTATACATAATATATGTATACGTATATATATATATATATACACACACAACTGATCGGAGTTTTTTTTTTTGGTGGTGCTGTTATTGCCGCTGACCAAGTAAAACATATCACGTATGTGTTAACGAAATAGATTGTTATTAAATATGGTTATTTCTTTTGTGTCACGGTTATTACTAAATATAGACAGTTCTTTTTTTTTTCTTTTAGCAGGAGTTATTCCTGGACGATTCATCAAGAAATCACCGCGATCTTACACGTATAGTACCCTATTAGTAGAATATAATTGTGTTACAATAATTGCTAATATACTAATCAACTAACTGTATCTTTAAACTCGATCTCGATAACTATATATCGGTCGTTTTTTTTTTTTATTTATTATTATTTTTTTTTTAATCTTATTCCTCTTGCTCTTTTTCATTTTCTCTCTTTTTCCCCCCAGTCGCGTGTGCTAATTCTTAATATTTTGACAAGTTTTTCCTTCTTCGCAGTCTTATCCAATTATTTTATTCACGCGCCTACGAGGTCCGTGCGAACGGAAGGACATTGAAGCATCCAAGAACTCTAACTCTGACGGATCGCGACGCGTGAATTATTCAGTCTTTCGTTATTTTTATTTATTTATTTTTTTTTTTTATTTTTTTATTTTTCATTTTTCACCTTTCACTTCATGTCATCGATTATTTTATTTCATTCTCTATATGCAATTTAATAAATTTAAATTTTTTGCGGTTGCACAAAAAAATATTATGCTACATATTACTCGCAATGCTACTTTTTCTTTTTTTTAACATGCTATAGATTTAAAAGGGTGAACGTTAAAGCCACAATTCGATGTTGCGCCGTAAAAATGTCGAGCGCCAGTCCCACCTTTTCCTCGAAATTTCGCTGCTACTTTTTTTCGATATCAAACTTCTACATCTCTTACTTACACATCTCGCTCTTCTCATTTTTCTCTCCACTTAAGGCCTTTATTAACCATTATTGTATATATATAAATTTTTTTTTACTCGCGTGTGAAATAGAGCTTCACTTGATTTCTCAAATAACTAACAAAGAAAAAGAAAACAGAGCGAAATGCCGTTCGTTAACTAAAGAGAATCCAAAAAAAAAAACAATCACGAGATCTATTTACGAACTACGAAGCATACACGCTGCCATACGTGCTTTGTCATATATAATCGAGATTGAAGTTTTCAAAGAGACGTTACTACGCGTAGATCCAAAACTCATATGACAAAGTAGAAAATTTTTCTAAGTATGCTCATTCTATGTAAATGGAGTTTACAACAGTACAGTAAGAGCAATTTATATCGTAGTGATTGTAAGAAAATACGAGATAATATTAAAGATAAAAGAATGACGATGGTAGCAGCGGGAATATAGTAGTGATTGTGTTTGTAAAAATAGCAATAAATGATATTGACGCGATTATGAATAGTAGAAGTTAACATAGAAGTAAGTGATGTTAAGGACAATGGTGTATAATATAATAAAAAATATTATAATAATATGACAATAATAATAATAATATAGTAATATTAAAAAGTAAAAATCAGTCCAATTGTTAAAAATTAATTTCTTTAACATTCACTATAACATTTATCTTTTTTCCCCCTGTAGAATCAAATTCCATTTCTTAAAATGGATAACGTGAAAAATTAATATTGCAAAAAAAACCATCGCGTGATGATATAAACGACGCGCGTTTTTTCTTTTTTTGCTTCATTTTTTTTCTCCTATCGCTTCAATTTTTCTGTACTTTCGCGTGCGCTATATATGATTTAAAAAGTCCTTGCTCATAAAATTCTATCATGTATATATGTGTATATATATGGTAAAAGTGTGTGTGTGTGTGAATGTGTTTGTTTGTTTGTACACATATATACCTTTTTTGTTTTTATACACTAGATTTATAATATGAATGCAGCAAATATAGTCGAGGAAAGAATCTATCTTTCTAATAACATTTGGCTAGCCAAATTCTGTCACTTAAATAGCATAAATTGCATTGGTTATAATAAAAAATATGCTTTACACCTGTGTACGTGTGTGTGTGTGTCTATGTGTGTTTGTGTGATAAGTTATTCGATTTTCAAAGAATAATCTATCTCTACCTTTCTCTTAGTAAGAATGTCACGTGTACCGAGACATTTTTCTTCATTTGGTAGATTAAAGCGTAAGTGTGTGTACACGTAGTTATTTGCACACAAAAAAAAAAAAAAAAAAAAAATATACACGTTTCCCTGTTAAAGTCTTACTTTTTTTAAAACGATAACTCACGAATGCGCGCGTTTATCCCGCTCACTCGTGTTTTGGCAAATAGGTGTTTCTCGCAAATGAATTTTCGGACTCAATAATCCGAAAAATAATTGTTGTGTTTAAATGGGACTTACTAAAAAAATTCTTTAGATGTAAAACATATGGAAGATTAGACCTCGCCGAACCCACCAATTGCTTGCTCGGTCATTTCCAAACACAAAGATTCCAGACGGGAATTTATTTCCGGCTCCGTCGTCTCGTTCGTCCCGTTAAGAGCGTGTCTCAGAAAATGATCCCGCGACGCGCTATGCGTGCGCTGCAACGTTTTCTGCAATTGCTATATAAAATAAAAACAAAAAAGAGGCGATGTATCATCAACTGAATAAAAACCCCAATCGTGTGCAAAACTTTGTCAAGATAAATAAAAAAAAAAGTGTTTTTACCTGCAAACTAGTTTCCTGCAAACTCGATCTTTTCTCGGTCATGTGTAGAGTGCGCAAGTTGCTCATGTTCAGGTTATTCATATTATGATTCTGACTGTTTTGCAGATATGGCGTGGATATACTGTTTCGATGCGGAGTCATCATATACTGGTTATTGTGTGCCTGATTATGATGAATGTGATTCAAGCTCGGTTTTCTATTGTGCTGCTGCGGATACCTTCTATTGTTATATCCGTTATGTCCGTAATTGTGTTGCCACCTGAAGTTTCAACGTATCAAGTTAAAAAAACAAAAAAAAAAAAACAACGTTCGCACAATATAGTTCCATCATCTTTTGATCAAAATTTTTTTCCCGTATTCTACTTACTTCGGAGTCGGTCGTGGATTGCCTAGTCTGCTGCGCCATTGCTGCACCTTCTCCTTCTGATTCGGATTAAAACAATCGTGTTGCAGTATCTTCTCGAGAATATTGACGCATCCGCACAAAACGTTATCCTCCGTGTTCTCCATCAAGGCTAATCTACTGCATACTGTGACAAAACGAGAGATCAATTTTTATTTTTTTTTTAAGAAGTTTTTCCAAATACAAATTTTTAATAAAAATCTCAAAACTCTCTCGAACTTTTATACGCACATTTCCCGACTACTTTCGTAAATTGCGTGGGGATGTCTTGGGGATCATTTTCCTGACTCGGTTTCATAGGGGTGGATAAGATTGTTTTGAGTTCTTCCACCGTGTTAATCAACACCGATGAACTTTGCGAAATCGAAGCGTTTTGCATGCCATCGACATTAGACATCAAGCCCTTTTCAAGATTCACGAGCGTGTTGTACCGCTGCTGCAGTTTGGCAATGGAAAGAGCCAGCTTGTGTCTGGCGCCCTTCGTAACTCCTTGATCCGCTAATTGGTCCTCCGTCAATTGTAACATATCCTCGTAACTCATGTTGACAAACAAGTAACTGTACTTATGAAGACGCAATGTCTTAAGCCATGATTGTACATCTAAAAAAAAAAAAAAAAAGAACAAAGTTCACAATTAGATTATCATCAACATTCGTCAAATTTGTGAAAGAGAATAATATCTTATCGGAATTAGATATATAGAAAAACTGACGCGATATCTCTCTTGAGAATTCTAAAGTTAAAAAAAAGATTTAAAAAAAAAAATACAACATACTATATGAAGCTACATAACAAAGCTATAAAAAACAAAAAACAAAAAAAAAAAACTAAATTTCTATCGTCACGCAGTAGCGTTAAAATTGCACATATACCTCTCATGCCACTTGCAAGTGAACGATTTGAAGCATCATCCAAACGACTCTCGCTACGGCTACTTGCACAGGAACTCTGCGGGCTCAATTGACTCAAACCAATAATATTGCCTAAGTAAAAATAATCGCCATTGAAACAGAATCGCAGATATAAACAGAAATTCCGATATATACAGTGTTTTTTTTTTCTTTTCGACTTAAATCCATCTATTCTTGTTAATTTTCTAAAAGGTCCCCCCCCTCTCGTGCTCTACTATCATACACTTGCGTTAATTGCACAATTGTGTAAAATGAACATAAGCTACATATTGAAGATCAAGCACGACTCTTTCCCCACTCAAGAAGAATGGGTGCGTTCGGACAACTCAACGGTTGAGAGATCATCGCTTATGATAGGACTATTCTTCAAAATCTGCTGCTGCGGTTCCAAAAGTACGATCCAATCAGAAGTGATTATCTCTCAACCGTTGTGCAACTGTTGAGTTGTCTGAACGCACCCAATGCCAAAGAAATAGAGGAACTTAAAGTCGTGAGAAAAGCTTGATCCCCTGACGACTTAAGGAAACGCTGTTACACGACACACAAGTTAAAAAAAAAAAAAACTTACTCGAGTGATCACTGGAGACGCTATAGCTGCGCGTTTTCTGTCTGCATAAAGTGTTCAAGTTGTTACTATTACGTTCGACAACTTCGAGGTGATGCGGTGGCATTACCGGCGGCGTCAGACTATTCGAACGATTACGGTGACGATTACTGGACATGGTCGAATATGGTTGCATATTAAACATGCTCGGTTGAATATTGAATAAGTTCGTCTGTTCGTTTGGGTGTTTGTAGTTCCTCTGCCACGGAAGACCTTCCCATCTTCATATATAAAAAAAAAAAAAAGAGATAAGAGTTTGTATGTTATCAATAATCTCATTGATTATCGTCACTCCCTACCTATAATTACATAAGTGTCACATACGGGATTTTCAGTTTATTGCATAGTGACACTTAGAAAGTCATGTTCTTTATGGTCACCAAATATTAAAAAAAAAATATTCATGAGTAAAAATTTAAAATCGAAAGATTCCTTAACTAGAGAAACTATATGAAGCTTTTAAGCTTTTAAACTGCTCTCCTCTAAAATTTGCGTTTTGGAGTTACGGGATTATACGTAGGGAGTGACGTTATATCGCATTGAGATTTTACTTTACTTACCTTGGTGAAGTATTTGGATAATCTTCAAAATTAGTAATAGGCGCACCGCTAATACGATCTTCCAAAGTTGTAAGCCACCGAGCTAAACTCTGTTTGTCTTGATTAGACATAGCTGGATGTATTAGAGTGTAACTCAAGAGCCGTTGCGCTTGTTCGGTGTGCTGTCCAGTACTCGTACAATGATTTATTAACTCTGTTAATGCTACTATATAACTTTCTTTGCACTCTATGTTCCCGGGCCTTAGTAAGGGCAGATGCGTTAAGAGTTGATTAATCGCTACTTCCGTTGTCTCATTTGATAACGCATTGATATAACCTGAAGTAAGAAAAAAGTTTTCAAATTATTACCGTCTGATTAAATTTCAACGTGAACAAGTTAAAAATTTGTTGTTTATTAAACATGATATTCCTTCTGAAAACAAAAACAAAAACAAAACAAAAAAAAGAGCACAATACTAGAAAATTTGTAGTTACTTGGATTGTTGGCATTTTGCTCCTTTGTCTCCAACTCCGATGTAGAGGGCAGCAAACTTTGCATCGCATGTATGATAAACTTTTTTTGAATTGGAGGTATACGACGCACCAGCGCAAATATAACAACAGTTTGTTCGCAATCGTTCCATTGAGAGAATACACGAGTAAGTTCATTTACTTGTTCACAGAAGGGAATACCAGTTGTCCACTTCATTTTGACGACAACGACGACGAAATAAAATTTTTCTTCTAACGTACAGTTTAAAATCACTATTCAAGCCACAGCACTGGTATTTACAGTCTTCAATTCAAGCTTACAAATGCCGGTATTCTGTTTAGGGGAAAAAAAAAAGAAAACAATAATAGAAAAAATTAAATTTCACAAGTTGCCATTGAGTTTGAGAGAAACACATATGGTGTGCAAAACAAAATACAAACAATACAATTTCACACACACACACACAGTCCGAGAAACCCCAACTTCTTAGGAAAAATACTTTTCATGTGCGAATGGCAAAGCGTACAAAAATAAAATTTATCTCAAAATGTTACATTACACATACATGTACATAAATATACAAAAAGAGTTCGTACGCAAACATAAACTTCTACTCACAAAAGATACAAACAAAATTATATACGGATGTAAACATTAAACTTGATGTAAACACAAACTATTTTTTCATCAGGTTTCATTCCTCCGTCATTTTGTTTACGTTAAAAAAATTGGATCTTTGTAAACCAATCGAAACGCTTTTTTTTTTTTTTTTTCATGTGCTGCGAAATTTACGAATAGCACAGACAGCGTGCGCCGTAAAAGGTACGTCGTTCTCTCCCCGCGAGAGAACACACGCGTTTGTTCAAAATCACTCGTCAAAACGAAAGTTTTTTTCTATCGCTGCGCTGTTATACTAACAGATCTCTATTCGAGCGGTCGCGCGGAAACAAAAAAAAGTTTTTCCTTAAAAACGTCGCGATCTTCATCGGACGTGACGAGAGAGAGATAAAACCGAACGATAATGTGATAACGGGGGGGGTTTGACGTTCCGCGGATTTTTGTTGTCACAGATGAACGATTGTCACACGCAACAGTCGATACGCGCCTCTTGTCAATCAAAAGCTATCAATCCGCGTTTTCCCTAAGAAACGGATTTTCCTTATTGCCCGCCCCCCTCCCCCCCCCCGCTCTTTCGCAACGTCATCATCGCCCGCGCGTACGTACAACGTAAACGCGCAATATATATATATATACACAATACCGATTTCCTACGAAGAGACATTAGGCGCGACATAACCTCAAACCCTGTGTCCTACGTGTGTGTATATATGCACACACAAGCCAGATAAGAATTCCACTGAGGTCAAGTTTGTTTACCCCGCGCGCGATGCGCGTGTATATTTATAGCCCTTTCCTGCGCGATCCGCTGGCGATCCGTTCGGCGGTGCAATGGCATCGCGCGCGCGAGAGACACGGAACGATGTGGAAGAGGAAGACAGAGAGAGAGACAGAGAGAGAGAGAGAGAGAGAGAAAGAGAGAAGCGCTTTGCGGGGGAAGAAGCAAGCGTTGTTCGATGACGACGACGACAACACTTGGCACTTAAAAATTTTCCTTACATCCGGAAAAAGTATCGCGCGCACTCTCCGGATGACCAACGTGGCGGTCACTTTTGTCCATCTCACGCGGTTTTACCGGAAACCGAAGAGAATTTTCAGGTATCACCGTCTCTCGTCCCGTCCTTGTCTCAACGTCTGCCTACACGTCACAGGCGTAAGAACGAATGAGAGAGAGAAAGAATGAAGAGGAACAAGAAACAGAGAGAGAGAGAGAAACCGGTGACGAACGAGAAAGAGACGCACGAGAGAGAGAGAGAGAGAGAGACGCACGCGTATATACATGTACGTATATTAAAACGCGTTGGCGAAAGGCACACGAGGACGAAGCAACGAAAACACACAAGGGAGGAAAAATAAAAACTAAAAGTCTCTCCGTCCGCTCGCGGCCGATCCGTCGTCCCGGGAACGATCGAGAAAGAGACAGAAAGAGAGACAGAGAGCGATCGATCGATCGGCGATCGGATCTCGGAAGCAAAACAAAACTCTACACACAACATACAACACAAGGGGGATGGTTGAAAAATGCACAAATAATAGCGACAATAGCTTCGTTGCGGCTTGTCGAAACCGAGGGGTGGACGGACCAAATATACTCGAGAGAGGCGGTGAACGACACAACGGAACGCGTGTTGTCCTCTTCCACACGGTCTCGTCGCGCCGATTAATTCGCACCGAGAGCAAAAAAAAAACAAAAACAAAAACAGAAAAAAAAAACAATACGCGAGAGCGCACACACGAGAGAGAGTCTCTCTCCTTTCCTTTTTCTCCTCTCCCTTCACTCCGCGGGTTTCACGCGATGCGAGCAAAAAAAACAAGAAAAAATGCATTTTATGATTACCGTGTATATATGGTAAAGGTGGACCGATCGACGAGAGAGAGAGATCGCTTTTACTTGGGCAACCACGCACTCTTTTTCCGGTGCCGCGTTGACGACGGCGACGACGACGACGCACAAATTTACAGCATTTTACTCGGTGTCCGGTGATTTTGAGAAACATCTATCCACCATGCGGCGCGGCAAGGACTACATGACCACACTCGCTTCGCTATCGTTGTTGTCGTCGGTGCTGCTGCTGCTGCTGCTGCTGCCTTCGTCCTCTAATGCCCTGGCGCCTCTGTTTGGGAAATTGCTGTTGCATGACGCTCCGTCGCCTCTCGCTTATTCCGTTGTGAGATTGGTCGCGACGCCAACCAGGACGACCAATCGTAACGAATCCGCGCGCCACCGGCGCACCAATTCGTTTCTTCCCGCGGGTGCGTCGACCGCACGTAGTCGCACACACACATACACACACACACGTATATAAATATGTGTGTACGTACAACGACGTAATTCAACCGTGCCTACGTTGTTTATTATTACCTTTTCTCTCGTCTCTCTCTCTTTTTCTCTCTCTCTCTCTCTCTCTCTTGCGTATTATTAGTTAGATTATAATTGAGAGATCGTGTTCTGAGAAGATCGTCTTTCTACTTCACTGGAGTATGAAAAAGTTTATTGAAAAAATATTCCGCGACGCCAAACGAAAACATTCTGTGAAATATAGTCGCGTCTGAAGGAAAATGATATAAACTGACGTTTTTTTTTTAATAAAACACAAAAATACGTAAGTTGTAAAAATATAAATGTTTCAAGTATTTTCTTGTAAAGATACTCAAAACCATCGTTCCGAGTGCTGTATAAGTATATCTCAATTTTGATAATGGATATCTCTTATCTGTTATACCGCGAGTGTAATCAGTTCTCGTTTTTGATACTTGATGACGGCGTGTTGTAATTAACATTCGAAACCGATCGGTATATTAAAACAAAAAAAAAAAACGCTCTTCAAACCCGAAAACCATCGACGAATGTCAAGTTCTCGTTTTTCCGTATTTACATAATATATATACAAACGTTTGTTTATATCGAGCAGAACAATGACTTTCAATCGAGTTTGCGAAAACTTATTGTACCACAAAATACGGTTGTTGTTGTTTAAATTACAAAAATTATCGTTAACGTCAACAACATACGAATTTCAACGTCGCGATCATCGTTATTCGCTTCGAATATAAACAATGAGAATGAAAATTTATATTCAAAGCAATATTTATGCTAAAGACATTAGAACACGTTTCACAATATATCCGTCCAGGTGTGACTCCTACTGGAAACGTGTATAAATAAAACTTATGTAAAAATGTTCTGACATTTTCATTTATTGCACTCATTCACAATATACACTAATTTACTCGCTAAAGTCTCTGTATGTTCTTTTTTTTTTTTTTTTTTTTCAAGTTTTTGACAAATATATTTGCCAGAAGTACGAGAGAGAAGTCTGTTTTATCTACAGGAAAATAGTGTGTAATAGTGTATTTTTGTTTTTTTTTTTATTCTTAGTTTATATATATATATATATAGATTCAACAACCATTATGAATAAGATGTGATACAAAATATATAGATTAAGATTGACATACAAAGGATTAAATTCTACGCTATTATATTTGTGGTGTTTATATATATAAAAAGGAGAAATCATATCCTATTCACAAAAATGTTGAATGTCGCTTATCACATCAATGAGCTTTGTCAATACTTGGCTATGCGTGAACAAATTGGTCACTAATAACCAAAACGTCCAGTTATAATAATTGACAAGGTTTAAACCGAACTGTTTATAAAAAGTTACAACTCATGTGGTTAAGACCCATGTTTAAGTTCCTTAAATGTACTAATAAAAAAAAAAAAACAAAAAAAAGCACGCTATATTTGGTATTAAATATTAAATAATCTCATTCAATCCGTCGCTCTCTGTAACAAGAGCTCGTTCCAAGATAACACGTCCTTCTTTGTATCGCTGCTGCTCGTCTGTTGCAAATTCATAAATCCATCCGAGCTTAGCGTCACAATTTTTGCAGCTGACATCTCGAACCATATGACGACCCGTCAGCATCACTCTATCCTGTACCTCACTGTGCATTATTTCATAGAGTTAAATCGCGTCTACATCATCATCATAAATCATTGAAATATATAATAAAACACTTGGTAGTAGTAGGTATTCACATCAAAATTGCTCGAGTTTTGCATTTTTTTTTTTCTTTTTTCTTTGCTCATGTTTCTTACAAAATTTGAACATAGAGTAGTTGTGTGGAAAAAGAAAAAAAAAACAAATTTGGCAAGTGCAAACACACAATAGCAGAATCCAACAGCCTGATGTGAACATGTAGTAGGTAACAAACATCGCGTTTTGTTAGAAAAAAACAAAAAAAACAAAAAAAAAACAATTTCTCTGTCTGATGTTAAAATTATTACGGGCGCACCTATAATTCAGATTGACGACCTTGCTGAAGAGAAAAGCGCGTCCCGTGGCACCCGTAAAACGCGTGCTGACGAGGTGTGACCTGTTGGTGAGATTGGTATCGCATGATGCGCAAGAGAACAGACGAGTGCCACCGATGTGCTCGAGAAATATTACTCCCATCTTGGAAAGGTGGTGCGACTGGGGGGATAAAACTTTTTCGTCGCGTGTTTTTCAATCTGTGCGCTCTCGGCACAATTTTGAATTAATTTATTTTTCAACGTTTCACCGAATCGGCGAACACACGCACACAATCGGTCCGCGCAGGAAACAAAAAGTCACGCAACTGTCAGCGCGCCATATGACTGTCCTTACCTACCACACGTGCAAGTACGCACGTATATATAGTATGTACACATCCAAGAACTGGCGAGATATAGACGCGGGGACCTAAAGAGCAAGACGCGCGGTTTCTCTAGAGGTAAAACATAGCGCCAGCGAGCGCTGTACCAACTAACTTGTAGCCAATCGCTTGTCCACACCATAGACGTAGAATGTATAGACTACGCGTTTCCTATTTTTGCCATGTTAAGAAAATGGATGCGTTCAGACAACTCAACGGTTGAGAGATCATCACTTATGATAGGACTATTCTTCAAAATCTGCAGCGGTTCCAAAAGTATTATCCAATCAGAAGTGATTATCTCTCAACCGTTGTACAACTGTTGAGTTGTCTGAACGCACCCAATGTCTTCAACGTTGAGAGAGACAGGTTTGGTTTGGTGCTGTTGTGGCTCAGGCTGTGTTCCAAATTTACTGCCAGCACGCTGCCAGTGCTAAAATTGTATAATATATGTGACTTAAACTATAGATCTTTAGCGCTGGCAGTNAATTTTGAAACACAGCCTCAGTGGACCTGTTAAGCTAGTCCATACGCCATTGAGAGAGACAGCTGGTGTTGAACATAGACGTATAATATATAGACTGCGCGTTCCCTACCTTTGCCATGTTAAGAAAATGTCTTCAACATTGAGGCCTGGTTTATGCGGGCAATAACTGTTAACTTATGCCGGAACCGGTAGAGTTTAACTATAGGATTCCAATACTTCTGTTTATACGCATTCGGCAATTTTGTATAAACAGAAGTATTAAAATCATATAGTTAAACTTTACCGGTTCCGGCATAAGTTAACAGTTATTGCTCGCATAAACCAGGCCTGAGAGAGACAGCTGGTGTTGAACAGTAGCCTCATCTTTGTCTAGCGAAGTAGTGGGGGAAAAAGAAGTCTTCGCTGATTGATAGAATAGTAGTGGAAAAGTGAGGGTAGAAAAATAGTGGGGGTTAAGAAGAGTGAAAGAGATTAAGGGGTGATGGCAGGTTACAGGTGGTATGAAACAGTAAGGTCCTGATCCCACCACAGACATTGATAGACAGAGAGAGAGAGTTACTGTTCAAAGTATGTTGTCTCTCTCAACGTTGAAGACATCTTTTCAGCCAAACGCGCAGTCTATATATTCTACGTCTATGGTCCACACCATAGACGTATAATATATAGACTGCGCGTTTGGCTGAAAAGATGTCTTCAACGTTGAGAATATATTATACGTCTATGGTCCACACAACCGCGTCGTGTCGATAATGTCGCTGCTCTTCCTTCCTATTTTCTCCTCCCAAAACGTTCCCCCAAAGAGGAAACCACCCCTTTTGCTCTCATACCCCCCCCCCCGCGTCTATATTGCGCGGATTCTTGATGAGTTCTGTGTGTGTACGTGTACACACATATACTTAAATAAAAGTACATCCAACGCACGTGTCGCGCAGAACGTTAGATATCTTATCGTAAGAGAAAACCTAACGCACGTGCTCCGTCGCTCGAAGCTATTTTTGATATATTCGAAAAACGAAGTTTATCGCAACAAACACCGCTGTCAACATGATAGAATATAAAACTATAGAGAAATATCTAAAATCTCTTAAAGTTGGATTCATCGGGGGTGGAAATATGGCTAGCGCCATAGGTGCTGGTTTAATTCGCAAAGGTAATTTAATTCTCCTGTCTTTGTTTATTTATTTATTTATTTTTTATTATTTTTTTTTTGGCAAATCTAATTGAAACAGAATCACGCCACAAAGATGTATACGTGTTGGTTATTTACATACGTAACACTCACACACAGGTGTATTAAATCCGGACAATATTTGGGTTTCCGGCCGTACTAACAGAACGCACGAGTTTTGGAAGGATTTGGGCGCCCATTTCACATTGAAGAACAACGAAGTTGTGAACAACTGCGAAGTCATATTCTTGACAGTGAAGCCAAATATACTGGACGACGCGCTCAAAACTATACCAAAAGTATCTGGTGAAAAATTGGAGAACAAACTTTTTGTCTCGGTGATGGCTGGAGTACCTTTGGAAGTCTTACATACTGTATGCGCAAGAGCAAGATTTTATGTAACAGTCAGAAAAGTAAAGATTTTTGTTTTGACACGACAATTTTAACGTATGAAATAATTTCAGAAACTATCGGCAGTTGTGACCGCACCAAGAGTAATTAGATCCTTGCCGAACACACCTATGATGGTTGGGGAAGGAATTACAGGTACGTTATGAGAAATTATTTGTGTAGATTTAACGTTGAACAATTGATTTATCTCCAATCTAAGTGTGATTTTTAGTTTACAGCAGTGAGAATGCTGAACAAGAAGATTTGGAATTAATAGACGTTTTGTTCTCCTACATTGGTATGAGTCAAAATATTCCAGAAAGCCTTATGAATGCTACCGGAAGTCTAACGGGTTGTAGTCCGGCATTTGTAAGTTGTTACAACACTCTCGTTCCATGTGTAGAGAAAACTGGTAACACATTTGTAACTTTAGTATGCGTTTAGGCATATATTATTATAGAAGCGTTGGCAGACGGAGCTGTGAGAAGAGGTGTGCCAAGACCAATGGCCACCAAATTTGCGGCGCAAGTACTGATAGGCGCTGGGAAAATGGTGCTCGAAACCGGACGACATCCTGGCCAATTGAAGGATGAAGTATGTTCACCCGGCGGTACCACCATCGCTGGTGTTCATGCTTTAGAAGTAGGAGGTGTCAGGTACAATTCGCATAAAAAGTTTATTTTATATATTTTTATACTATTGATTATACGTAATGAATTTTATTGTTCCGCAACCAATTTCAATTTATTTTTTACAGAGGATCCATGATGAACGCCATTACGGCTTCTGTTGATAAAACAAATGAATTAACATCTTTGTCGAAATAAATTTTCTTTGTTTTAAATTAGTATAAATGTTATTTCTATAAATTATATATACATGTACATATACATCATATGATCGTAGAGTGAGTAAACACATGTTCATTGTCAAACAATGATAGATCAAATAGATCAAATAGTCTCATTACATCTTTTTGTATGTTTATTTAATAGAAGAGATTGTATAATTTATCTTAGGAATTTTTTGTATTTTGTTTTGCAAAATTATGTAAATTATGTCTTATAAGTATAAATTTTTAAATGTTATTAAGTGCAAATTATTTATTTTTGCATATTAATATATATATATTAATATAT